ATTCAGGACATGCCACTTTTGTTTAGTTCAGGTATTATCAAAATTCACAACCAGCCCATACCAGTTGTAGTTAGCAAGTAGTAGGCTTGTGCTTGATCGTTCAAAAGTTCAATTTCAGACATTCACCCATCCACATACACACAATTATTTGCTGCCTGTCAGCATTCACAATTTAAGCTATTTTTCTGCCTACCACATAATCCACCCCTTGCTTCTGCATCTAGACCATTAAGATATTATCACTGCAATGATATCAAGTCATTTGGTTAACAGACTATGGGTATCACTCAGGCCTGGACATACTGCATTAAGTTTGGATTGTTAATTAATTTCCAGATGCAAGAAGATAGAGGTACTTTTGGCATCTATTTTATGGGATAATACTTTGCAGATGGAACTTGTAGTCTGATTTATTAATTCATTTACTTGCTGTAATTTGTTACACAGTGCTTCAGGTCTATAGAGTTAAGGGTTGTACTTCTTAATCTTAACAATTTTGTGAGGCCTTTTTTCTGGGTAGGGCTTTCGGGTAGGCTTCAGTCTACCACCTGTCAGCATTTACAAGTTATTTTTTGCCTACTACAATACCCAATAAGGCTTTCATCAGTTCTGTTTCTTGGATATTGTCTTGAGCATGTCAACTTTTTTTGAACCCACTCTCATATCACTTCCTATTCACATGTGATCCTCCTGTCAGGGCCCTGAGTGCACTAATAGGGTCTTAATGGCCCTGACCAGCCTCACCTGGGGCCTCCACCCACACCCTCTGCCCGTGGGCCCAGGGGCTCCATCGAAGCTCAGGTCTGAGAATTTAGTCTCTGCCTGAGCTATGTTGTAGGTATATTGGTTTCCAGCTATGCCAATGCCCCCATTGATCTGGACCCTGATCTGTGGACTGACTTCCTGGCTTGAGCTCAGACCTGTCTCATCACTATGGACCTGCCTGGTGATCACTGGACTGGATCTAATCCTGGTTACTGTCACTGGATCTGACCCTGACCTGTGGATTGTCTTTCTGGTTTGATCTTGGACCTGCCTCATCACCATGAACTTGCCTGATGTTCTGGATTCTTGGTTGAACCTGGCTAACATCTGACCTGGGCTTGCTGCTCTGCATCCTGGCTCCTTGCTGGTACTCCTGGTCACTACTTGTGTCTGCCTTATTATCACACTCTGTTCCTGGATCACCTTACCTTGCAGAGTAGCTGGCCCTTGCTGCTCCCTGACAGACAACTGGACATATACAAGTCCATGGGACCAGAAAGGATGCATACAAGGGTGCTGAAAGAGCTGGCTGATGTCAGTGCGAGGCTGCGTCATGGCAATCGGAGGAGTTTCATGATGACTGGAGAAAGGCAAGCATCACACCCACCTTCAAGAAGGGCAAGAAGGAAGATCTGGGAAACAACAGGCTGGTCAGCCTCACCTCAGTCCCTGGGAAGGCTATGGAACAAATCCTCCTGGAAGCCGTTTCTGGTCACATGAAGGACAAAACAGTAACTGGGAACAGCCAGGATGGATTTACCAAGGACAAATCATGCTTGACCAACCTGGTGGCCTTCTATGATGAGATGACTCCCTGTGGACAAGGGGAGAACAGTACATGTTCTTTGCCTTGACTTCAGCAAAGCATTTGACACAGTCTCCAATAGTATCCATATAGTCAGATTGGTGTAATATGGACTGAATAGGTGGATGGTAAGGTGGAGGGAAACTTGGCTGGACCACCTGGCTCAAAGGGTTGTGATCAGTGGTACAAAATACACTGTTGGCCAATTACTAGTGAGGGCACTGCCTGGGCTGAGGTCACCCTCAGCTCCTGGCTTGTCCCACCTTGTGGAACAGCCCTGCTATTGCTGCTTCCTGACAAAACTTAAATGCAAAGTCAGGTTTGAGCAGTCACATTAAACTCTTTTTTTTTTTTTTTAATTCACTGTTGCATCTGGTTAGGACAGAGATCTGAGGGTTGTGACTTCATCTCTGATCTTTACTGATCACCTCAGCATCCTATATGCTTGAGTAAAAGCCTCAGATCAAACCCCAGGACAACAGCTCGGGAAAACTCATGACTTATGTAATTCTAAGCAGGGAGCTGTTTTTTCTTTGGCTATAAATAACATTACACAGTCAGCAAGCACAAAGTTGCTATGCAGGAATTAATTTCTCTAGCTCAGGCATATATAAAACTACTACTGTAAGTATATGCTGTACATTAGTGAAGCTTCTGAGCCTCTCAGTCTTTACAGCACTGCAGTGAGGAAGCAAGTGCCATTACCCTTGTTTTACAGAGGAAGGAAACTGAGGAACTAAGATACTTGTGTAAGGTCACACAGGAAACTTATGGCAGGGCATAGGATTTCAACGCAGGCTTTCAGGTTTTAGACCACTGCTTTCACCACTGAACCAGTCTCTTTCTCATTTTAAAGCTCAACTCAAAGCACAAACAAGCGATTTTCTCGCATCCATTTCCAGAAGGTTGAACATGCTTGACTCAGTAATTTCTTTGGATTCATCAAATTTCTCCAGAGCTTGGCAAAGTTCCTCACCAGGAAGCTTGCCCTGTCTTCTCATCTTGTAATCAAAATCCAGGTGTCAATCCTCCATTTTCTTTAGGTGGTGCTGAAAAACAGACAGGCAAAAGCATATGTCAAATTAAGATCATTTCCCAACTCTAGGTGTTTATTTTCAGTGCAGTAGAACCAACTTGTCATCTATCATGATTCACATAACATTAAGTACAGACTTGTTAAAACATCTCAAGTTGCCTCCTAAGACTTCCTTCCTCCACTTATACGTAACCATATGAAAGCCTTACTGAGCTCAAAAGTAGTTACACAGATAATCATTTGCAGAAATGGGAGCCACTTTTGCCTCCACAAGTTTAAAATTAATTGTGCCTTTGAAAGATATCTGTGTGCATATGTATTCTCTCTATGAATGCTGGATGGTATTTGACTGGCTAACTTCACAATTCATACAAGTGAATAACATTTGTGTTCCAAATTCCTGGGACTGTCTGGACCTGGGGGCACACAACTGCAGCAGTGGCATCCATGGGGCTGGGATGGGAGGAACCCCTGGGGTCTTAGAGTCCATTGGATTTGGCCTCCCTCCCTCTAACATTAACATCTGGAAAAGCAAGGAATGATAGATAGTTGGGAACAGGATGGGGGTAGCAACTTTTTCTCTACTGCTTAACATTACTGAATTAAACCACTACTTGTCATTTTTTCTTTGCACTTCATCTGATTGCAGGAGCATCAGAGAAATATGAACTTGGTGGTTTCAGCAACTAAAATGCTTTTCAGCTCATCTTCGTTTCTTACAAGTTTCAGAATGCTGGATCACAATACCCTAAAACATATATATAGTTGATCCCTTAACTATGTGCAAAGTGGATACAACCAAATGCATTAAGAAGGATAGTTACTGGGCTACCCAAGAAGATCATAGTCTTTCAATTGTATTAACTTCTGAACACTGGGCCTTAAGACTAAGGACAAGGATTTTTTTTTCTTTTTGTGGGAGAAAGACTGTCTTTATTTTCCCATGTTTTAAAGACTAAAAATAATAAGACCTTTTATAAAATATAAAATAGACTTTTTATAAAATAGACCTTTTTGACCATAGTGAACTTGCACCTCAGGGATGAAAGCTGATTTCTGTATTTAACCACCTACATTAACCTGTAAGCAACTCTCCCCTCTTTCCCCCAGAATTAATAGGAAACAAGAGTAATCCATAATTTTGGGGGAAATCATATATATATCATAAATAAATAAATAAAAATGTTGAAATGTAGAAAAACAGTATGTGAGGGAAATTAAAGCAATGTTTCTTTCTATTTTTAGCACCTATCAAAGTGGTATCTAATTGCTGAATTTTGAGAGAAATATTAATTTAATTAAAAACAGAGAATGAAAAAGTTGTTTAAGTAGTTACCTTTGTAATTTTTCAACCCATGTTAAATATGGTAAATATTCAGCCCAAAAATTAACTCAAAAAAGATAGTAAACGAAAACTAAAGGGAAGAATTCAGTATATTGTTTTTAAAAAAAGAAGAATAGAATAAATGTCTGTTTGATTAAATTAAATGGGGGGACAAAGAAGCTGAGCCCATTTTCCCTTCTAGGTTTACCACCTTGGAGGAGCTTGCCTTCCTGCAACTAGCCATGAAACTTCCAGCTTGCTCAAAGGTGGATAAATCTACACCCATGCCTGAGGTCTACCTCAGAGTCATTTTTGCAGGTAGGCAAAAGTTAGCTGTTTCCAGGAGAAGGCAACAGGACTTGTGTACATGCAGCATCTAACGGAAAAAAAAAACCACAATGACCTTCCACCATTGCAAGATCACACTGCACCGCACCTCAAAAGCACAGGAGATGCAATGATCAAAAGTAAGAGAGTCTAAAGCTCCAATTAATTAGGATGGATCCAGCAACCAAACCATACATCAGGCTCAGCAGAAGTTCATGCTCCTGATAAATGGAATGAAAACATTAAATGTGAGCCAGATAAAAATCCTGTCTCCATTCACAAATTGTCACAGTTCATTGTGATGTCTCAAATTTACATGGCAGCATACTGTCCAGGTTCCTGGATAGGGGCTACTAACACTTAAGCAGATGGTAAGGTTGGTATGGGCGGTCAGGTGGATACCTTGGTTTTTACTACCCCGTTGGTGGATTTTAGATATGTTAGGCTTCACACCCCATGTCACAGAAGAGGTTACCAGCATTTGTGAGTTTGCTGGATTATTGCAAAGTGCATCAACGTTTATGTGATAGTATCCTAGATTTCCCAACAGAAGGGTCAGAATTGTCTGATACATGAGGGGTCCTGTATTTTTAGATATTGCCACTGTATTTTTAGATATTGCCAGCATTCTCTTTGGTGATAAGACCACACCATAGAGAGTGTTAACAAAATCCCAGAGGGTTCCTAATGTACTTGCTAGGCGGATATTTTCTGTAGTACTCTGGTCCAGTAGTGGTTCTCACTCAGTCATCCAGGAGGTCAGCAATTTCTAGGGAGGTAAAAAGAAGATTTAGGTCTTGGATCATATCCAAGCCTCAGTAATGACTAATTTTATTCCCATAGTATCTACAGTTTCCCATACTCCTTCCCCTTGAAAGTGTTGCAAAGTAATGCAGCATTTCCCGAGCGATGGATGTTCAATTCTCACCATATCTCTGGGAAGCCTTACTGAGGTGTGCGAGGCACTCTGCTGGTGTTGATTCATCACAGGGGATTGTTTAAAGCTTTTGTATAGTGGATTACCAGTAGGAGTCTGCTGGGAGTTTAAGGCTCGCATGGCCTCCCATAAGGTTTTTCCCCAATTAGTGCCATTATTATGCCATTTGAGTTGTTGTTTAAGCAACCCATTTCATCTTTCGATTATACCATTACTCTGAGGTTGATAGGGTAAGTGGAAAGTCCACTTAACTCAATGCTTGAGACACCATTCTTGTACTACTTTTAACTTTATTTTTAAAATGTGACCCATTATCTGACTGTATCTCTTGTGGTATCGGGTGCATAGCAAACCATCGGTTTAATCCTGTTATCATTGCCAGTCCAAATGCAGTGCTTGTAGGGTAACCATTACCTAAACCGCTCACTACTTCAACTCCAGTCATAATAAATTTTCACCCCTTGGAGGTACATGTCATGGGTCTGATATAGTCCACTTGCCAAGTACCCTGAAGGACTTTTCCTTCCCTAAGGTTTGCTTGTTGTTGACTTTTGACAAGATAATCTTTCATTTTGTTACAAAATCCACAGGTTTTTACTATATTAACTACTTGTTGCTTAGTAAATGGCCAACCTTGTCTCACTGCATGCTGATAAAGGTCATATGTTCCAGTGTGTCCCAACCATTCATGCAGCCATTTACCTCGCCATTCAGTACTCAAGGTAGAAGAAAATCCTGCCACAGTTATACGGGCTAAGTGGTCAGCCATATTATTCTATTTTGCCACCGGAGTGGTATTTTTCTGGTATGCTTCTATGTACCCTATAGTAATAAGACGGGAGTTAGCAATATCATATATTTGCTCCCAAAATTCCCTTCCCCAAACATTTCGATTCCCTATCTGCCAGTTGCGTTTTGCCCAATTTCCTAGCCATTGTGTAGCACCAGCCCAAACAGCATAAAAACCAGTGTATGTGATCTGTGCACCATTTATGAGAGCTAGCACTATGGCGTAGAGCTCTGCTAATTGAGCAGAACCTTCTATTCGCTCAGTTACTGCATGTTCATCAGCTACGGACACAGCAGCAGCCGTTCCTTCCAACTTACCCTGTATTTTGCGAACACTTCCATCAGTAAACCAGATGCCATCTGGCTGACAGGGATCAAATTCAGGGGCATCTTTGATAGGAGAGCACGGAGGCTCCATGTATTCAATGGGCATTCCTATACACTCTACAGCTTCAGTAACTTTGCTCTCCTTAGATAAACCATCTGCGGTTACACGATGATGGATATACAGTGCCCATCTTTGTACAGTGGTCTTATGTGCTACCCCTAAAGGCAGTGGTTTACCAGTGAGAATGGGTATTGGCACATGCAATTTTACACTCCTTCCTTGGGTCAAGAGTTCAGTTGCTACCAGCCCTTCATAAGCTGCTAATAGCACCTTTTCAAAGGGTGAGTAATTGTGCTGAGCATTTTGCCATGATTTGGAGCCAAAAATAATAGGGCATTCCTTGGAAGTGGTAGGACCTTGTTGCCATAGTCCCCACCAATATCCCTTCTCTCTCACCTGGATATGTAGTGAGAGGGGCCACGTAGTATGGATGGGTCCCAGTGATTGATATACACTCATGTTTTCCTTTAAAAGTTCCAGGTTTCTTCATGTTGTGAGGTCCATTCCCAGATTGCATTTTTCTTTAATAAGTTATAAAGTGGTTGGGCTATTATACTAAATCCTGGAATATGCACCCTCCAAAATCCTAAAGTCCCTAGCACAGCA